CTTTTTGTCATTCTCTCCAGAACAGCCTGCAGTGATTACCTGACAGGAGCCACAAGAGCAGACCTAGTCCAGAGTGAGATAAGTAAATGACTCGACTCTTCCACATGGGAACAATGCAACCTGCACCTTCACAAAGTACAAGGGTTTGGGGACAGGGATTCCCCTGAATCATCTTCTGCCATTTAGAGTCACTAAAATGACTTTTTTTTTTATACTGTATCTGCATAGAAAGTTAGACCTTTAAGCCGCGAAAATGCTTACCTGGTATCTTCTGTTATGTACTGGCACATTCAGAGCATTGTATTGATTAGATCCTACGGGACAAAAGTTAAACATATTTATTAAGTCATACTTCCTACATAGAACATTTTTTAGTAAATCATTTTTACATCGAAGTTTTTCAGMATAAAAGTGTTTGTTTCGAAAAATATCCAAGCAATTCACTGCAATAAAGTAGATCTAAAGGACTCATTTAAGAGCTGCTAGTACGATCAACAGTGGAGAAAGCACTTCCACACTTGCCTCAGATTACAATTCATATTTATCCATCTAAAATCCCCCAGATTTTTGACAGGAAACAGCAGCAACCATATGCTGTTATCCAAAAGATCAATATTATTCACTAAACAATAGTGAACGGTCTCAAAAAGCCTTAAAAGAACTCAACATGATCTTCAAATTTCAATTATATTCCAGAGACACCCAAGTAAGTATTTTTGTGATTTGCCTGTCACTTGTGTTTTTTTCTTGTTGGTGGTKGGTTTTTTTAATGCTCCYGCATGCACCCGATTCCTTCATTATATAGAATTAMTTCTAATCACCACACATTTAAACATTTTGTTCCAGTTAGAGAGCGCTCTGGATGGCTTCCATATTTCAAAGGGACCCACTTTAAAAGAGAGGCGTGGAACGGAGCTTGGAAGGAGGCCCCTACCTTCCTTCAGTTGCTACAGTCCACCAGTTTCATCTCTTCCTGTACTCCAGCTCCTGCCTGCCTGCTCAAGGACAACCTACCACTCAGGCTATTGAGGACAGCAGACAGTACAGACTGATGCAACACACTCTTSTTACATCTTGTGTACTTGAACTCAGATGACACTATTACCTCCAGCTGGGTACCCAAATTGAGCAAGACAGGCAAGAAAAACGCAAGCCAAAGCAATACCTACTTGTGTCATTAAAAGGTACTTTTTCATTGATTATGCTTAGAGATTCTTCCAGTCTACTGCCCAAAGTCGCCTGAAGATTCTTCAATTGCTGCTGGCTAAATAACAATAAAAACCACAAATGTCAATCCTTAAAGTTTATTTCATACCATCACCACTGTAATTCACCCTAAGCCTCCCTGGGGTTAACAGATCTCCCTTCCCAGAAGTTTGATAGAAATCAGACAGTAGGAGTTCTCTCTCTCTCTCATGCCAATTTTAGAACATGTGCTCTATTTTRACTCCTAACAAAAGCAGTGAAAGCAGCTAGAACGGACTGCAGATTTTGGAGTGCTACTCTTGAGAAATTTGGATCACTTGGAAGTTAGCCTTTATATTCATTTCCAGTATTACATTCATGACAGAAGCTATACAAAAGTATTCTGCTCACTGTCATTTTAACTAGCTCACAAACAGGCCTTTAATTTAATTACCTGCTATGGTATTCCAGTATAGAAGAAATGATAGTTCAGGTAAGTACACTACCTCATTACCAGAAATACACCATAAGCATAACAGATTTGGATGCAGCCCTGTGCCACGTGCTCTAGGTGACCCTGCRTGAGCAGGGGGGTTGGACTCGATGACCTCTGAGGTCCCTTCCAACCTTCGGCATTCTATGATTCTATGATTTCTGTACCTAAATATTGTTCTGCTACAGCACATTTGTAAGAGATTTGACAACAATGTGTCATTTGCATTCTAAAGTGATTTTCCCCATATCAGCTTGTGTATTGTAGATGTGAATCTGTGTCATGATGGTTACTAATATTGTTATCCCAATGCTTGAAGTGAACAGTATTATATCCTAGCATTATATGTATGCTAACAAGGATTACTGTGTATTGTTTTTCAGACCAAGTACCACGCCTTACCCAACTCAGGCCCTCAATTCTTCACTGCTTTGTTTCCAGTCTGACATCTAGAACTCCTGCACGTATATTGGATGGTGGGAGGGAAGGTTTCAGAGTGACAGTTTGTTTTATATTTAATACATCAATACAAATAGGAAAAAAAATACAAACAAATAAAATACCGAAAAAAAGGTCAATAAGTATCTCATGCATTGTAAAAAAGCTTTTTTCTTGAAGAGCAGCTGCAAAAATTGCACAGAAACTCCAGCGTATGAAGTGTAAACATACTGGACACATGAGAAACTGTGGAATATGAACAACATYGGACATGTTAGAAAACTCAAAGACAAACTCCAGAAGCATTGCTGTTTCTGTGCTATACTGTAAAGGAATGATTAAAAAAAATGATATATTTTGTTTCATGTTTTGCCCTTTGATTTTCAAGGCATAGAGGCCGTCAGGCCTGGTATCCCCTGGCTTTTTGGAACAAAGCTTGGATCTCAGAGACAAAGGGATCCCTTCTTACTAAAGGGGCATTCTGATAAAGATCCCCATGTCAAGCACTCATTAGATATTGATTTCAGTTTTGAAATAGTGTCAGGCTTTTATTTTTAATTTTAAAAGCCTGCTGTGTTAAACGGTAGAGGCRTTTTCTTACAATGACACTAGCTACCCAGTCATCTTGGAACTTYCTACAAGCAACAAGCTCTCAGTGCCACAGAAACAGAATAGAGCATCACCACCTTTCAAATCTAAGCTACACATCCCATAGACACTTAAAAAAGCAAACAGGAGCAAAAAATATCCAACTTCTTCAAGTAATACTGTAAGTGAAAAATCTGATCTACATTAGAAGAGAATTAGTAGAATGCAAGGATGTTTAACTTGGTAAATAGAATTAAAAGATATGATTCAGGGCTTCTATTTGAAATGGAAGGAGCTTCTGACCTGACTATGTATTTTAACTGTTACTTATGGTTTATACCATGGCTAAGTTAAAAAACAAAAAACAAAAAAGGCACCTTAAAGAAGTGCTCTCTAAGCTCCCTCGGCCTGCAGTTCTCAACTCTTTTTCCTGTTTTATTTAGTTGATCTTCAAGGTAATTTAAGAATTCCAAAACTAGAATAAGCTTGATCAATAAATTCAAAGTATTCTGAGTATATTATACTTCAAGCAAACAAATATTGCTCAAGAGACATATGAAGCAGATGGGAACTTTTGAAATTGCCTTTCAGCATATAAAATGCCCCAACCAAACTTGGTTTTTAAAAGCAGTGTGTAAAACTCATACACCTTTGTTTCACAGAAGTTCAACAGTTTCTTCCCAGTTCCACTGGAACTAAATCCTGCAGTCACTCATCAGCTTTACAGTTATCTGCAGTAATTTGGCAGCTCTTTAACAAGACAGATTTGTCTACATCTGTGTAAAGAACAGTTTAGTTATATACCCAGCAGAAGAAAAGGGGACCTAAGCCACATAGTCTTGATGTTAACATGTTGCTGCTTGCAATTTCAGTTTTAACCAGTGTTAATCAGTCTTTTTTTTTTTTCCCTTCAAAAGTAACCCCATTCATTTGTAAAGCAGCTATTTCTTTAAATCAAGTTTTTCATTATATTAAATAAAAGCACTTACCATTCTTCGGTTCGAAGCCTACAGTCCTTAGCTTCTCTTTCTAGTGTCTGAGACTTGATCTTTATGCAAGAAGATAATCTCACAATGTAAGTACTGACACAGCAAAATATTTAATTTCAGAACTTTTCAAGCTTGTCAAGTAACAAAAAGCTCCTTACTTCTAACTTGGCTTTATCATGCTGCAGCTTCTCTATGGTATCCGTGTACTTCCGTGTTAAACTGTCCACCACAGCTTGATGCTGGGCAGCATCCGTTTCCAGAACATCAAGTCTGCTTCTCAGCTCTGCTTCTAAACGYTTGTGCTGCTCATCTGCTTCAAAGAACTACAATGAGAAAAGCAAGTCTCGTGTGCAAGGGCTTCACTTTCATTTAGTGCTGCGGAATCTAGCCCAAAGTCACCAATTAGGTCCACTTTAATAACAAGTGCTCGCTTATTAGTCCTCAGATGAGTTTGTGTTGACATATGCAGAAAACAGATCGATTAATAAAATACTTGTTTTTAGAGAACGGTTGATATTACAGAACTTTAAAAAAAAGACTGATAGACACTYGCAAAAGGTTTGTTATTCAGCTTAATTTTCCCCTAAGCTTTCTATACCAGTGAAATACATTCTATTTTGATGTTAGTAATTCTTGCCAAACTGCAGAGAATATTAAGTTTTAAAGCAATTTTGAAACTGTGGGTGAAGAAAAAGCTTCCATCCAATACCAACCATTTTCAATGCAATAGCTGAGCATCACCAGAAGTTACAAAATTAAATGAGAACCATCTATTATTATGATAATGTGAATTATTCCATAYATCGTCTTAAGAGCCTGAAGTCAAGTTATAAAGATATTCAATTGGTAAATGAGAAACAATGCTAACTTAATCAGCTACTCTTTATGCATGCATCAAAACACACTAATCATTCAGTTAAAAGACTCAGCTTTACATACAAGTATATGCAGTCGCTCATTCTCTTCTATCTTCTTTTGAAGATCTTCATTGAAGACACTTTTCTGCTCTTGACTCAACTGAGATGAAGATTCTCCACCTTTCTAAAAGAAGGCATGTGCTCATTAGCWCCTGTCCCCAAATAACAAAGGCATTTCCAACCACTTAAATTCCTTCTGTAAGAGGCACATGATTACACGCATAGTTATTATAGCTGTAGTTATATTCATAATAAATAGATATATTATACTGACTAGCTAGTCAGTTATACTGACTAGCATATATATATATATGCTATATATATATATGCTATATATATATATGCTATATATATATATGCTATATATATATATGCTATATATACACACACACACACACACACATATATATATATATATGAGCCTAAAAACAGCATTTATTGGTTTTATACCATGGTAGAATGCCCACTGGGTAAGTTAACAGAAACTGTCCCATTCATAAACACGTGGAAGGGCTTGTCCATACAAACATTTCCATGTGTCCGTGGATGTGAYGGCTCGGTGCTGCTGCCACCATGTGAAGCTTCCACGATGCCGGGCAGCGAGCAGTGTCAACCCCTATGCAGAAAGGCCTCCTGGGTTCAGGAGCTCTGTGTACGGTGTGTCCCCACGCCTCAACCAGACTCATCTCAGCAGGGATCAAGAGCAGCCACYGAAAGGCACTACCCCAGCACGGGGTGTTGCACGGGGTCACACTGGCCCCTCACCGCCTGCCACACTCCCTGGGAATACACAGCCACCTGCCAACAGTTCTTCCTTTTTCACCCATTTCACTCAAAGCCTCACAGACCACCAACAAATCCCACACAGACAGCTGCTTGCTCGACCATTCTGCTGAACAAAGGTGGCACCAGCGCTGAACAAGCCTGCTGACCACTTAACACTTAAATTTCACACTGAATTTCAAGCGCCCAGGGCAGCTGACACAGTGAAACCAACCACACTTTTTGATGCCATTCTCAACTGGATCATGTGAGAAACAGGGACACCTTCCATTCCTTCTAGAAGGACCAAACCTCAAAATACATCATCTTCCAGAAGTTAGTCTAAATATAATGTACTTGTTTKCCCAAAGACAGAAAATCTACAGGTATCACTGAAGCTACTAAGGGAGCACTCAGTAACACACACCTCCTGAAAAAGGGTCTGTGTKTTGAATTAAAGGGAGCATACTTAAAAGGCAGCACAGACATTTCTTAATGCAAAATTTGTCTCTCACAGTGGAGCAGAAAAGTTAGTAGCAATAGTCTGCAAGCTAACTCAAGACAAAGTAAAGTCCTCGAAAATTTGGAAATATGACTGAGGAAACTAAGTTATGTAATGTGAAATAAAAAATAAGAAAGACTGAGACACATTTAGAAAATGAATATTAATGTATTAAATATTTAAATCAACAAGTAACATGAATCAGAGGCACTATCTTTATCAAGGACCTGGATAACCCTGATTAACAAAAAGTACAGAAATTATGTGAGAAAGTAAGGAAGATGAGTACATTTCTAAATAACTGAATATTTTTACATTAGTATTTATGGAGTTTTGGAAGATGTCAAAAAGAATAAGTCATAGTAATTAAGAGGAGGAATATCAAAGATTGCTTGAGAAAGCCCCAATGGAACATCCTTGGGAATCCTGAAGTCGCCTGAAGGGGAACAGGCTGACCTAAGGGATCTAGATAATATGACAAACACAGTTTAATCAGTTGGCATTTTGAGAAAAAAGAAATCTTGGTACTCTATCATTATTCTGTCACTTTGAAACAAAATAAAGAGTATTAGCTAAAATTCAGACTTCAAAGTATTTGACAAGATTCATATAAGAGCATCAAAATAACAAAGTAATGGGAGTTGGACAAGAAAGTCAATTTTCCTCACAGATTAATCAGAAAGTTCCACAGTCTTCTCTGGCTGTTTAAAAATTTAATAAAGACACAGAAAGAGATATACCAATTCAATGCCAGTTAGCAGTCAAACTAAGAAAAAAGCCCATTTTTAGCATACCATATAGGTATCAGTATTTGTTCAGTCAATATTTTCAGTAACATTGGTTAAAAACAGAAGTTCCATTGAGAACATTTAGCTCAAACTTTCACACTCAGCAACTGTGCTAAAACTGAATGAAACAGTAACAGGTGAGGAACARACATTTGCTAAAAAAGAGTTGTTTGACCTTTATCACATACCTTGCTTTTCTTGCCTCTAGTTTCACTTAAAGCAAGTTCATCTTGAAGCAACTCCACTCGCTTGGCAAGCTGCTGATTTCGAAAGGTCAAGCTGTCCATCTCCTGCTGCAGTTTTCTCAATGATTGATCCTTCATCTTCAGTTGCTCCTGAGGGACCAAGGAGTTTTAGAATTAAAACTTTCACGCTACTTCCATATATTCAAAGAAAAAGCCTTCCCTGTTCAGTATTTTATCTCTGAAGAAGCCAAAAATATTGCTTTTAAATTAAAAAACAGATTTCACTTCCTTGACTTGCCCACAGAGCACGCTTCATTAGGTGCTTTATCCTGTAAATCAGTCACCAAGAAGCAACCTTTCACTTTCACAAAGTCAACACCCACAAAGAACAATGAATACAGTAACTCCAAAACAAGAATTCTTACTTACATCATTTTTTTCAATGTTCTTTTAATCATTATTCTCTGAATAAAAATTAGGAAAAGCCCACCCTACATCCTCCCATTTACCTATTTGGTCAAGACTTAATATAACTGAAGCTAGGGCTCTAGACRTTACCTTCAGAGAAGCAGAGTTGGCTTGTTCATCTACAACCCCTTTCTTCAGCACCTGGTTCTGAGCTCGAAGCTGAAACATAAGAGATGCAGACAACTGTGTAAGACAAAAGAATAAACAAAAAACACTCAGTAGGAAAAACATCTGCATGCCAAAGGCATTTTATCTTTTCCTGAAAAGATTAAATGTGTGTGCTTAAGGGATTCTCTTCTRATAAGCAGCTGTGTTAATAAGTTTTGTGTGTTTTTTTTTTTTTTTTAAAAGGCACAAACACATTCATATCTTGAATTTTCAGAAAACAAGAGTTACTTTGGGAAACGACCTTCTTAAACAGAAGGCTCATCTTGCAAGAAAAAGTATTTCAGATTAATAATTTAAATAGTTATCGCTCGAAGAGCAGCAAACAGCTGCAGAGAAGTTAGAGCTTCTTGACTACTCCAGTCTTACGTATTAAGTGTTACTTCTGCTCTGCCAAAAACCAGCACAAGTTGAGGGAACATTTTGATTACTTCTTCCATTAAGTTYGAGTAAAAGGGTCGGAAGTTGTAACTTCAGGGGAAAACAAAGTATTCTGGAAACAAACATCCTTCCCCTGGGGTGCTCTGTGAAGCAACAGGGAAAGGGAACCTTTGCCAGGTACCTGCTCRCCACTTTTTGAACCTACCTACTCCCTCCTTAGCTCTCACATCACCGCTAGCAAGGGGACAAAGAGCTTCCAGGAGCTCCTCTCCTCTCCTGCAAGCGACAACAAAGATCTGGTCGTTTGCAGGAAAAGGAGGGCTGCCCACAAGGGAGCTTGCACAACGCACCGGAGCTGTCCTACAAGGGACAAAGTGGGAGAGAAGCAGCTCCCACAAGCAGCCAAAGAAATCCTGCAGGGAGGAAGTTGCAAGGCGAAGTTCAACGAAAATTTTCAGGCACTCTGATACTAAAGGAGCGAGAATCCAGGAGCTCAGACAAGCAAGAAGGTCTCTGCATTTCRAAGACCCATTCAGGAGCCAAGGTCCGCGGCCAGCAGGCTGTGCGCAGCCTCCGAGGCACGGCAGCTCCGGCAGCGAGCCACAGCAGCCACCACCTCGCTGGCGGCAGCATTTTCGAGGCCAAGCCGCAGCGCCTTCACAAGCGGCTCCCCGCAGGCCTCGGCAGCGGCCCCCGGGACGGGAGCCGGGCGCCTCGCTGCTCCGCAGCCCCGCGGGAGGCGCCTCGGGCCGAACGCTCGGGCCCGGACATGGGCAGGACGGCGAGACGGCCCTTGCAGCAGCCCAGCCGCCGTTAACGGCCGCAGCGGCCGCAGGGCAGCGCGGTACCTTGGAGTACTCCTGCGCCAGCTTCTGGTACTTGGCCTGCAGCTCCGCGGCGGCCGCCATCACGGCTCGGCTCGGCTCGGCTCGGTCCGGTCCGGTCCGGTCCGGTCCCGCTCCTGCGCGCCCGCCACCTGCGCACGCACTTCCGCGTTCGGCCGCCGCCGCGGCGCGCTGACGTCGCCGCGCTGACGTCACCGCGCTGCCCCGCCCCGTGCAGCCGCGGCTCCAGCCGCTGGCGCCGCCATCTTGACGCAACTTCCAAGATGGCGGAGCGGGGAGGGAAGGGCGGGCCCCACTTAAACCCCGCCCACAGAAAGGGGCCGCGCGACGTCATGGGGTCCCTCCCCCCGCAGGCGTCACCATAGCAACCGCTACCCGCCCGCCACAGCGCGGGGGCTACGGGGCGCCGCCCCGCCCAAAAAGCGGCGGCGGCCGCGCGCGGGGGGGAGGGGCAGTGGGGGGCCGTTGGAGCCGTTAGGAGGCGGGAGCGGAGCCGCCGCCGGGGGGCGCCCCGCGGCCGTTGGCGGCGGCCGTTGGCGGCGGCCGTTGGCCCTGCGTCAACTGCCACCGGGCCGTGACCCCGGCTCGCTGCGAGGCCTGTTTCTCCGTTTGATTTCAGCAGGATGTTTTCATAGCTCTTTCTCAGGAGTGCCTGACATAAGAAATGCTCTTTTTCTTGCCCACTTTCGTGCGTGCTCCCTGTGAGGAGGAGCGGCTGCCCCACTCCTCCGYCCGTCCTCTAATGAGGAGAGGCAGTAGCTGCCCATGGCAGCTSCCTGTCATTCCCTTGCAGCTCTGGGGATTCGGGCGGATATTTTGCCCACATGTGCTGCCACAGCARCACGGTCGGCAAACGCTAACCGGGACGTGGTGGCCACATTAATAAATACCCCTGTGTCTCCAAGGAAGCCCTCGTGTTGGAGGAGAAGAGCAGAGGCTGCACGTTGTTGAGAAGTCTCAGGACAGGAAGAGCAAAATGCCACGGGCCGTGTCAGCGCAGGAGGTGCCGCCGCTGCTGTGCGTGGCCAGGAGCACTAAACAGTCCTGCTGGGGGCACGACGGGCGCCAGGGCGGCCGCACAGGGAGCCTTCCCTGCCACCAGAGCTCTGCCTCTGCCCGGGCGGCCACGAGCACAAACATGGAACGTATTCGCCCGCGTCCCTCCTCGCCTGGGCAAGACCCWAACGCTCCTTACATCAGGTGTATTATCCTTGAACACAGGCAGGCCGAGGGAGTCCGAAGACGGGTGTCCGTAACGGCCTGTCGGAGGCCGAAGGCTGAGGGCCGGCTGCAGGATTTCCAGGCTCCCGGGAGCGGTGTGGAGCTCAGCGCTCCTGGCACGCACAGGATGACGTTTGCAGCTCGTCACCACCCTGGGATGGTGTTTGGTGGACAGGCTGAGCCAGAGATGCCCAGGCAGAGCAGTAACAAACACGTCAACAGGGACTATACTGATACCTTCTGTTTTCCAGGTCACTCATCCTCCTTCCGCTGCGCAAAGGGTGCTTCCCCTCTGATTCACTGGGTCTTGTACTCACACACGCTGAGAACGGGTGCAGGTAACGAACAAAGATCGCCTTCTGAATCATCCAGGATGTTTTCTGTGCTGCGGGAAAAATAAACTTCATTGTCATCGCTTACATGCTACAAGTATTTACAACAAAAGGGTGCCTAAGACCTGGAATGAAGTCAGGAACGGTTGGAGGGAAGCCAACGCCAGCCATCAGACTGTCACAAGAAACGCCTGAGCCGCTCCTCGGGCGCCGCGGACGCCCCGCCGGGTGTTTGGGTGCTTGGTTTCTGTTATGGCAGCAACAGCARGGAACGCGCTGCGGCGATGCCCGAGCAGCCCGGCTGTCACACACAGCCTCTCACCTCTTCCAAACTCCCATTGTTCCCATAAAAAAAAATCAAGCCAAGCGCTCTTAAAATAGGTGCGACGTGTGTGCGGATGTGCCCTCCACGGAATAAATTCTTCCCTTATGTTTGTCCCTCATTACCATAGTTTCCGTGTTCGTAGCACCTAAAAACRGGAGCGCAAACAAACCTCTGTTCTCACGTCCCGTCCCGACTCMGTGGATAAACAAGAGTTTATCCAAGTTTATCCCACCAAGGAGGTGGCACTCGGGGTCGACAAGGGTCCAGGGAAGGAGAGGGGGAAGGCGAGGGGCGCTTGTGCCACAGGAGGGGCTCTCAYGGCTTTGCAGCGAATCCACTCGCTCCGTGAAACAGCAAAGCTGTAACAAGGGAAAAAAAAATGTTTCTTCCATTTCTTCTAAAGGCTCATTTCTTTTAAATGCTGAATTCCACCTGTGCCTGGAAGATGAAACCTCTTCCCTAGCTCTGCCACGTTTTGCACAATATAATGCACAAATACACGACTGGTCCAATCCCCTTTCATTTTCCTCTTGCATTTTACTGCCTTTTTTTTTTTTTTTTTTTTTTTTTTGGCGGTCTCCAGTCTTTCTTTTCGTGCTTCCAACACGGAGCAGTGAAAGCAGCAAGAGCTGAGCTGAGGGACATACCCCATACCGTTAATCTAGCCCTGACCATGCGGGCGCTCTCAGAGAGCTCKGTAGCATCTAGCCAAGGAGGGACAGAGCTGGTCAGAAATAATCATTCTTTTTCCCTGAAATATGAGGGAATCGCAGAATCACAGAGAAATCTCTATAATTTAGAAAAAAATAAAAGGTAGCAAACTATTTACGAAAAYGAACACAACTCAGATGTTCCCAACACCTCCAAAGGTTCCCCCTGAACCTCTAGCTTTCAAATTGACAGCCATCTATTGGCATGGCTTTAAACCTGACATGCTTCTTCACCCCCATGAAAGCTCATCTAAAATTAGCAAGACACGTATTATTAATTAAAAAAAAACCCCAAGACCTAGTTGTTATTTTTCACTACATTCATTCACCTGAAAAATACCCCTCCGAGAGAAAAGAGGAGCCAGCCAGGCGCGCAAGCCGGCAACGAAGCACGATTCACGGCACGGCAGCGCGCTGCTTTCCACCCCTATTTGTACCTGTTTTTGCGCACGGAAATRTCCGTGTGCACAGAAATGTCCRTGTGCACAGAAATGTCCGTGTGCACAGAATCCCTACGGGCGCGTTGTGGGCCAGCGCCGGGATGGGATTTGCCGCCAGGGCCGCGCTCCCCTCGGCTGCGCGACGCTCCCTGCTCTTGGCGCAGCGGCAGCGCTGCCCGCACCGGGGTGCATCTCCCGTTGGAATTTTTCGGACACCAACAAGTAGGGATGAACAGACGTGTCGGAAATAACAAGCCTTGACAGATCTAGGGTTAAATACTTTAAAATTAGATCCTGCTGAAAGCCGAATCCTGTTGCCTGGCAACTGCTGCATGGGATGCGGCTGCCGCTCCGGGTGCTTCTCCCGGGAGCAGGGAACGTTCTGCTCCGCTCGCCCAAAGCGGGGCCTGGCTGGGGCGAGGTGACATCGTGCAGCCCAAACGCTCCTGAAGGCAGYGGCCGGCCCAAAGGCGCTGCGATCCGCGCAGCCACGCGGATCCTTGAGGAAAGGTGCCCTGGGAGAGGTGCTTTTCCCCTCCGCTGCCTGCCTTGGGGGAGGGTGAGCTGCGAGCRGGGCTCAGGCTCTGCAGCTCAACAGGGAACAAATGTGTTAATCCTCTCAACCCACCCCTGCCCGAAAGGCAAGGATGGGGACGGCTGTGATTTGGGGAGGTGGGACAGGGTCCTCCAGCGGCAGCCGTGCAGGAGCAGGCACAAAGCTCCGCAGGCGGCAACGCAGAGCCCTGCGGAAAGCTGCAGCCTGGCAGGCCAGTCACAGCAGCAGCAAACGACCAGGAACCCACTGGAGCTTAGTGAGAACCCAGAGTCACGGGATCCCCGAATGGCTGAGCTTGGAAGGRACCTCTMGAGACCATCCAGTCCAACCCCTGCTCCAGCAGGGACACCCAGAGCACGGGGCACAGGGCGGCATCCAGGCGGGTTTGGGAGATCTCCAGGGAAGGAGACTCCACAGGCAGCCTGTGCCAGGGCTCTGTCACCCTCACAGTGAGGAAGTTCCTCCTCGCATGGAGATGGAACTGCCTGTSTTTCAGCTTACACCCAGTACCCCTCATCCTGTCACTGGCCACCACAACTTAAATGAATCAAAAAAAAAAAAAATTCAATTTAAACGAATCAAAAAAAAAAAAATCTCTGCAGCATAAAATTTAGGCAGCCATTTAAAAAATAAACCTGATCTATCAAGCATTTCCTCCATAAAAGTCCTTAGAATAGAGCTGGTGTAACTGGGTAATTGCTTCAGTTAAAGCTTTACTTCAAGCGTTGTGGCTTCACAGAGAGGGCAATTCCCAGGGAAGTTGTAACAGAAGAAAATTCTCGAGGGGAATTTAACAATGAATTTATGGCTCTCTTATAAAAAAAATAGTGAATAACAATTAGAAAGATATCATTAATGTATGACACATAGCTATGGTTTTGTCCAAATTAATTAGAGCAGTCTTATCAATCAAGATGAACACCAAGACACTAGTAGTATACAGATAGCCCATAATTTGTGATTTAGACCCTAGATATTATTTGCTGTGGTGATGAAGGAAAATCTTAATTAAAATCTCATATATCACTTTAAGTACTGTAACAGAACTATTATATTTTCATCAGAATCTACACAGGGAATTTATTCAGTGATACTAGCTAGAAAAATAGTAGTAGAACAGACCAACCAGTGTCTGCCTCTAGGAGATAAAGGCACCGTGTCGAACCTTGTCTCCCTCCTGTGCTGCGGTATCTCAGCAAAACTCCAGGTTGGAGTCAGATGTTCAGACTGCAGCTCAGAAGACATTTATATAAACGTCATTCTTGGCTGGCTAGAATTACATCATGTTCTTCTCACGATGCTGCCTCAAGCTTTATGGAAGATACTAAGCTGGTTAACTATTTTTCACCTTTTGCCCAGGGAAAATATCTTGGTGTAGCCTTGGGAAAAGGATGGGGAGTATTTCATGAAGAAAAGGGGTGAAGGGGGAGTGTTGTCACCTGCTCTCAGAAAGCCTCATGTAGAAAGACCCAACAGACCCCATAAATCATTTCTAAAGAAAACTAAACAATGAAAATAAAACACCAAATGAGCTGTTTCTTAAACTCTATGTTCTTACATGACCTGTTCGTGCTCTCCCCCGATCTCCAAGTCTCTCCAGGACGAGCGACTTCCCTGCAGTGATACAGGCACAGAACTGCAAATYATCACAGACATTTCATTACAAAGAGAGTCCTCATTTTTTAAGCAAATGCTTTGCACAGAGCAGAACAAACCAGGGCAGGTGCCTTACAGCAAGGTCTGCAGCAGTGTCGGACATTTCAAAGATCTCAAACCAATCTCCAAGTTACAGGGCGAAATGTTGGCTTTAACAGGACGCTCTTCAAGTATCAGTGGGGCTTAGGCTTCATTTCAGAAATRGACTTTTCAATATTATCAGCATAGGAAAACAAGAGAATTGAGATGTTTACATTTTATCACCTCTATTATTGTTCATAGATCTGGGCCTGTTGCAGATGAACYTGACCGAAAGCAGCTCTTGTTGTGAACTGGTAGGGCTCACTTACTGCGCCGAGGAGTTCAATGAGCATGCAATTTCCTTAACAAAGCTGAGACCTACAAGAAATTATTATTATTTAACTAGCCCCAGTCTTGTGGAACAGATTTAAATGGGAACCTGAGGGCCTCAGAGCAGCATCTGAGACCAGAACCGAGGTCTGTAGATAAAGAGATAACACAGCGTTTTCTGTTTGCAATGCTGTTTATTTTATAAAAGCCCCTTTGATCATCTGAATGAAAAACATGGGCAGAAAAGTCACAAATGTTATAAAACAAAGTTTATTCTGCAATATTTTGTCATAATGAATTGCATCTCTTTGGTAAAAATAAACTTTATAAACATTTTAATTAACAGCGATTAGCATACAAAAAACTAAACTTCTGTAAATTGTCTTTAAAATGGGTAAAGGACTAAACTGGAGGAAAAAGGGTTAGAATTGGTCTCCTACTGGCAAAATTATCCTAAACAAACCCAAGGACATTGCTTATGCTACATTAGAAACAAGCTAATGGGAACATTTTTAAAAACAACTCTGGCTCGTTTGATCAGAAAGCATTCTTACAATTCACTTAAATAAATAATAGTTACAATGAATTGGCAATTATAAAATGTTTTATATCACTATATGGCAGTAACATAATACTTTTAATTATGCACTTTTTAGTTTGAAGAAATGTACATTTATAAAACAGACCTCATAATGGCACTGGCAGTTAGATGTAAAGAATGTGCTTTAAGAAATGATGGCAGGTGCAACACTTAAAATATTCTACCTTTTCTCTTCAATAAATATTTTGACTACACCATTAATAACATGTATGAGTGTACTCTGCTTGAACCAAAGCTTTTGCTTTTCAGCCCAATGAGATGGGCTGAAACTTCCACTTTAAAGTTTGATTTTTTTTTAAATATTGGATGCGACTTTCACAAAGGCTGTCGCTTAGTATTGGCATCCCGAAGGCCAAGACAGGCTGCTACAGCGTTCGCATCTGGATTAAACCTGAATAAAGCAGCTTCCCTTGCCCATAAGTCTCATACACTTCTGCGCTGTTTTCACGAACTGAGTGTGGTTCCTTAATACTCTCCTTGCCTTTTAACTGCTATTAAAATAAATCTGAACGGACCGTTGGCATGAACATTTTACACATGTCACTAAAGAAAACGTTAAAGTAACTTTTAATTATACTCCATTTATACTATATACACCAGGGCTTGGGGCTGAGGTGGCAACCAAACCCCAACGCAGTGCGGGGCGAGGGGGAGGCAGCGCGGGGCCGGTCGCTGCTCCTCGGGGTGGGTTTATTGCTTTGCCGTGGCACGGGGAAACTCCAACGCTGCCCTTACCGGCCTCTGGCCTCGTCCTGCCCCTGCTGCCAAGGGCTTCYCTCGGGATTTGGGATTCGGGAAGCGGCGGCACAGCCGCCCGCCCAGGGAATGCAGAGTCAAGTAAAACACCACGCTGATTCTGYGGGGAAACTGGGGAGAGGAGCAAGGGCACAACGGGGCTTGTAGCCTCCCCAGCGCCCGCCCCGGGCGGCGAGCAGCAGCACCACAGAGAAAGCACCCAGAAAACCGCGAGGAGGAGCGAGGGCCGCCCCTTCCAGCCCAGCGCCTGGATCCCCATCCAGCTCTGCATGGGCGTTCGGGGGAGCTCAGCGCCTTCGTGGGGAGCCCGCGGCGAGGCCTTGGGCGGCGCGCAGAGCCACCGCGCCGCCCCACAGACCCGTCACGCCGCCCCACAGAGCCACCGCGCCGCCCCACAGAGCCGCAGCGCCGCTGCGCACTGCCCCACACCCCTTGGCTCTCCTCTCTCCACCAGCCACCGAGGCGCAGGAGGCGCCGGGCGCCCCTGCCTCCGACCACGTCCCGAGGCGCCGCGCTCTGCTCGGCTCCCTGCTGCACAGAGCCGCCGCCCGCGAGGCGAGCGGCGCCTCCCACACGGGCCCTACCAGCTGACGTGGCTGAGCTGGTGACGTGCACAGACACACACGTGCGGGCRGGCGTCCTCCTGCGACGGCTGCGGCATAACCGGCATTCACTCAGAGCAGGAACGTGGCAGAGAGTCTTCTCCTTCCAGAAAGAAACCATTCTTAAAAACTGAAGTTACCAAAAAAACTGAAATTATCAAAAAATAAAAGGAACACTTTATAGGCTTTGCACTTAAAAACAAAATTGGCTTTGAATTCCAGAACACGCTACAAAATAACCTCCATAACCAAGAGCCGCTGAGTGACCGCGGCCAAGGTCTTCAAGAGGCTCCGACCCAGGGCGGCCCCCAGAGCAGAGGCCCTCGGCAGCTCGGCCGCGTCCCCGCGGACGGAGATGTTTATGGCAGGATTCGGGAGACTGACAAAGAAGAAAAATCAGAACCCACTGATCTATGCAAGCTGGGCTCCAAATAGCCACAAAACACCCTGTCAGTAAAAGCCTGACTTCTGGTTGCATCCATTGCTGTTTTCAGCAATGTTCAACCCGAACAGTGGACACTGGTTTCCTACCTGGCTCTGCTTCCTAATTCTGCACCAGTTAACGCAACACCTGCTGGAAACAACGGCTTCTCATACTAGCTAGAAAGTTTATGGCACATCACGCTACCTGTCAGGGATGGGAAAGATGACTTTGTATCACTGTACGCAATTCCAGGACATACTTAAGGCATTCACACACTTACAGTACTGTTAAACCCCACTCCAACACAGCTGCACACCTGTTCTGGCACAGAAAAGTTAAACAACTTAAAAAAAAGGAAAACTTCAGAAAAAGCCATCATCTATTGGAAGATGCAAGCAATTACCACTTGTTATAAAAGAAAAACAAGAAAACCATCCTACCCTTGAAACATTTTTGGCCAAAAGATGTCTGGGCATTATAAAGAGATTTATTCTTTTATTGCAAAAATGAACTGTGAGGGAACTTTGCAGGGGCCAAGAGGCAGGACTCCGGCTGCTGCAGCTGCTGAATGCTCGACAGCGAGGCCGGGAGGAGGAGGACAGCCCAGGGGCTCGGCGGCAGCTCTCGCTGCGCCTGCTACGGCCGCGCGGCCGGCGCCTGCGCGGAGCCCCCTGCACACACACACACACGTGTGCACACGTGTACACACACACGTGTACATATACACACTTGCACACACACACACGTGCAAGACAACTCGCCTCGAGATGGCTGCATAACGTGGGTACTGGCGGGAAGGAAAGCAAGCCGGGGCCGGCGCACACCCCGGCTGCCCCTCGCTCGCCCCTCCAGCCAGGGTTTGTGCCCCTTCCTCCCTTCCCTCCTCTCTGCTGGGATAACYTGCGGCTACAGGCAGCTCCTTAGGGCGCTGCTGGTTCTCACCCACGGCACGGGGACGTGGCGCGGGCTGCAAACGGCAGCCCCTCCAAGCTGCTGCCCCAGCAGCTCCCCAGGGCCCGCGCTGGAAGAACGACGGAGAAACCGAGTGGGAGGCGGCGGCCGAGGCGAGAGCCTCTGCAGACAATTGTTTCCCCCCCCTCTTTTTTCTTTTTTTTTTTTTTTTTTTGATTTTTCTCCTCCTTTTTAATCCTTTACATGGAAGTCAGAGCCCTTAGACAGGGCAAAATGCACCTCTGCAGAAAGGGCTGGCAGAGAGGTAAATAGGATCCACAGTGTGCATCTGAATGAACGTAGCTGTGGAAATAATCAGCTATTAAAAACAAAAAAACAAAAAAAAAGGAAAAAAGAGTGATCATTAAGGAGTATGCTTTCAGGTTTTCACAAGTCATGCATCTCTTCTAATTTGAAAAGATTTTTTTTTTTCTTTTAGGCAGTGATTTAAAAATAAATGGCTAAATTATAATCAGCGCCAAAAAATAAAAAAGCAAATGAGTCCTCTTATGGCTTTGATCTCCCTTGTGAAGGGTAAAAGTAGAAGAGTATTGCCACACTTAAAAAAAATATACGTATATATTCAGCACTGACAAGCACACTATTTTTTCCTTTGCTTGTGACTGTGGGTCTTTGCAGTACTTATCAAGGAACCCAAGCACGTTCGGACGCCTGCAAGGTGCAGCAGGGACCCCGCTGCTTCCTTCAGCTCCTCATCAATTTCCTGACATAGCTCCTTGAGTGCTTTGTTGCTGGGCTGACTCTTGTCAGAGGTATCTACGCGCGGTTGCGGTGCATAGCCACTGTCTCCAAGAGGATCGTCCTCGTAGTCAACGTCTGTATCCACCTCGCTGTGAAATCCTTCGCTGCCGTCGCTTCCCGCATGGCTGCTCTTGGAGATAAATTCGTAGACCTCATCTACGGAGGACAGGGAAGACACGCTGGATCGGGAGGCGCAGCGCTGCGAGCCCAGGCTGCTGGCGCTGTAATTGTGATCCTCCTTCGGATCGATGTTGGCCGCCGCAGAATCGCCCTCCGGCAGATTTATGGAGCTGGGAGAATTAAAGGCGCTGCCATAACTCCTCTTCTTGGGGGTCTTCAGAGGCTGAGGTTTCTCACCTACRGAAAAAAACAAACCCGTGAGCAAGCAAATCTTCCAGTGAGAGCAAATCTTCCAGCGCTGGCAGCTGCCTGCAGAGGGTCAGCCTGGAGCCAGCGCTCGAGAGCCATGAAATCCTCCACACATTCGCTGCCGGAGGACCGTGCTCTGCAGCTAACCACTAAYAAACGCTGGAGAGGCAGCTAAGAAGTCTGAAACATCTAACCAAGAAAAGAAAAACAAATTAGCTTTAAAAGGGGGTTGRGGGGAGAGTCAATAAAACTCTCTAATGTTGGCAGAAAGAATAAACAAAACAGATTTGCTCTTAACTGGTCTTACTAGTGACAAGCTGGACCATACTCTGTTATTGAAACTTTAGAGSAAATATTTAGCTACTGTGTAGAGAAAGAGCAGAGTAAAAGACAAATGCTTACAGTCTAACATCCCTTGTTCAATGGAAGTATTTAACAGCATCATTGCAGTAGCAGCATCAATATCGGATTCTATGGAGAAAAAAAAAAGCAGCAAAATGTTAGATTTTGGGTAAAATGCTAGCTGCTGGCAAAACCAGGTGCTAGAACACAAGAAGAATATGTACCCAGATATATTAGCCTGCAACAAATGGAAAAGAAATGTAAGAATTTAAACTTGAGAATGATCCAAATATAATCAAAAATTAAGACAGATATTTGGAGTGGCATCTTATGGACAATACAGTTGGCTACAGAAGTCATGTGTCTTAAATATGACAACCTTTTAAAAGCTGATTTCTTACACYGCACTTGCCAAGGCTGAAGGCAAGAATCAGCAACATTAAATTTGCATCTGATGATGTTATTAAATTCATCAACAATTGGGCTTTATTTGTAACAGTTTAAAGAAAAGGATTTTGCACGTTGCAAAGCAAAGTGCCCAAGCACCTGCAGAGCAAACGTGTCAGAAAAAGGCAGCGCTAACTCGGCATCTTTTCTCTCGCTGCCACAGCAAGGGCTCTCYCCACCTTATTTTCTCACTAACAAGTCAAAAAGTAGAAATGGAGAAGATGGGGGAGAAGCAGGCAGGATGGCTTCATCCTGGCAGCACGGAGATCCAAACAACAAACGGGCATTTGAAGAATATTTAGATGAGCTCTGTGTTTTGCAGCACCGAGCAGATTACTTCTCCCTCAAGAAGGACATTTGGAGAATCCGGTAGCAAAGTCTGAAATCTCTAACTAGAAATAAATAAAATGTTAGCAATGGCATCCTTTACAGCTCTTCTTCTCCTTGCCTGTCTTCTCCAAAAAGCATCAGAAACAGCACATCATAAGCACTAATTGTAACTATATTACTGACTTTGGGGGTTGAGTATCAAAATTGTCAATTTGGTCCTCCTGTGTCTACAGGAGATGTCTTAGATCATTTTTACTGACTTTATGCAGGGAGAAATCTGAATCTCACTTTGGGAATGTTATACCCACCAGGAAACGGAACATAGGTGCTGTTTCCAGCATGCTATAAAATATTTCCCACTGGCTTCATAATCAGTCATCTAACATCACGCACTTTAAGGTCTATCCCACTGCACTTAGGAGATTTAATCCTGGTTTATCCCTTTTTGGGGGTGGGCACCAGCAGAGCCACTGAACGCAGAAGTCCCATGTATCCAACCGATGAAAAAAGGAATAAAAAGGTGAGCAGTGACTGTGCTCCGCGGTGGGGCTCGGGAGGAGAAACCCTCCCATTTCTATTGAAATCTGCCCATTTCAAATGCCTGGGATTTGCTGGGGCAGGCATTCCATTCTTGCATATGATGCTGGTGTATAAATCCCCCTGCTCAGTGACAAGCAAGCGCAGAGGTGGACACAGCACAGAACTATTCCCACAAGCTGCATTTCTGCCCTTTGGAACCCAAGGAATCGGGGCTCTGCGGAGCTCTCCTTCGCCCCGGAGGAGCCGGAGCACCGCTGGAGGCAGCCCACGTAACACACCAAGCACAATTCAGGACAGGAGCTCTAACAGATGCATCTTTCTTCAGTGCAGGACAAGCCTCCAGCGGATCAAGCTCTGCTGCTGATGTGCAAGGCTTGTGCTCGACAGGCTCCCTTTAGGAAGCACCGCGGCTCCCCAGCACGCTGGCTCCGCTCCGCGGCACACTAACGTTTCAAAGATGAGGAAAGCTTTTAAACGCGCTCAGGGAAAAATGGAATATCCCTCTCTGTTCAACAGCGAGCRTTGCTTCTATTCATTCCAGAATGCCAACAAAAACTGGATTTCCATCTTAAGTTCACCTTTTTTGTCTAGACCTGGCTACTTGTATTCTTTCTCTTGAAAGGTTCAGGTAGAAATCTAGAGGACAGAGCTGCAGATGTCCAGAATTTAAGAAATCCCCTTCCAGCCCAGTAGCAATGCAGTGGAGGGCTTTTCTCTGCTACAAAAGGCACAGGCTTTGTTGATAGGATGTGTTGCTGTCCCCTGCTTAGCTTGCACCCTTAACCTGCACAGCAGTGATAAAAGGCACAATTTGCACTAAACTTTTCTGGCAAATGAGTGAAAAATATCCGTGAAATGATTTTCTGATTTGTTTCACGTTCCTTTTGTGAAGGGTCTCATGCTTGCTCAGATTCCTACAAACATCCAACTTGAAGGCACTTTTGTGCCCTCATCCCACAAGGTTTACRCATTCAAAGTTCTCTCCATTCTTGGTTACCAATAAAAAACCCAAGCTACTACAGACAAGTTCTACCATTWGCTACCTAGTTTTCAAACTGTGTTTTTACTAAATTACACGGTGTTAAAATAGGTCATGTGGGGGTGGGGGTGGTGTAAATGTGTCTGCTAAACACCTTGCTGGCAGAAGAACAAGAAGTCCCTTCACATGTTGAGACTCATCTTATGGATTTTAAGGTAATGCACAACACAAAGGGCATTCAAACWATTAAACAGTTTTCTGGAATCCAGCAACCTCTTCAGAACAGGCCCATACACAAACAGAACCACAGCCCACGATATGTTGGTGCCCAGGAAAAGCAGCAGAGCAGCAGGACAGACAAGCCACATTTACCTTTGAGGGATCGGCCGTGACTCTGCTTGAGGACTGAAGTTAGGTAGTGAGGAGACGATGACCTACTGGAGAGAAATTCAACACGCTGAAGCCAAACCCAAATCAGCCAAATAACTTGTGTAAAGTATATYGAACGTAAAAACATAAAGATTAAAAACCAAAACCAATAAACTCCACCTCCTAAAGTCTATTGGACAAACCAAATCAGCAGCAACTTCTCTTGCCTTCACTAGCTGCCCAGACAGGTCACTTGCTGTGCTACCTATTGATTAAGCCTCCAGAAGAGAGCCTGGGAAGCATCCCCACTGAGGAAAATCTTACTGGCAAGAGATAATAACTTCTATACATTTTATGTGCTTGCTTACAAGCTAGATTTGCAACAAAGATGCACCTTTTTGGGTAAATAAAACCTAGATGTGAAGAAACTGCTGGCCTATAGAGAGCTGCTGGGAGCCCGGGCACAGCAGAACGAGAAGGGACCGGGTGCACGTGCTGGAGTTCAGAAGAGTGCTGAGAGAGCAGCAAAGGAACAACCAACCCAAACCAACAGGCAAACAGAGGAAATCTTAGACAAAACCTGGACACAGCTACTCCATCGGACAACTCGGTCCAGGGTCACATCTAGGCAGCGAACGCTCTGCTTTCCTCCTGGCCGGAGCAGCCAGGAGGCTTCCGCAGCAGCCAAGTAGTGACACTGGCACCAGGAAAGCGGGAATGTGGACAGAGGGAGGGCCTGGAGGTCGCTCAGCCCTGACTGTCACCGACCAGGGCCGGTTTGCAGCCGCTCACGGGCGGTTGATCTTGAAGTTACCTGAAGCTGGGCTGCTTGGGTGATGCTGTCTGCTCTCTGGCATYGTCAAGGCCAACTCCAGACTTAGCAAAATATTGCTCAATGTATTACAGAACACAGTGCAAATTAAAGCCCTCTCTCTATTTTTCTCTCTCTATCCAGTTCATTTCATTCTAATGTACTTGGAAACTGCTAGAAATAAGTAGAACTGAAAGAGTGCTATACAACTACTATCATCTCATAAGATAACGATATGTTGGAAGACAATATAGTTAGAAGAATTAAAGGCAGTTATATAGTTGAGGCATTAAGATGAYGAGCAGGCATTCAGGTTTGATATGTAACAGCAGCCTTACAGGGTTAGTGGGGGGGTTCTAATGCAGGGTGTTTACCCCTTGTATCTATCATACTTAGGCAGCTTTATTTCTCTGAGATAAGGCACAGCCACAAATCACCCCAAAGATCGATAATGAGCGAAGTGCTCAATATGCTTGGAAAAATTATTATTCATCAAGGAACATGCAAAAGTAACCTGAAACCCAAGCAATTGCTTCAGCTGCCTTAAAATACTATTTAGCCCCCAAATGTTCCTTCTTTAGCGGGTGCGAGGAGCGCGACGTGACGCGGTGACGCTCAGCGGCGCGGCCGTGTCCGTGCCCGGCACGTCCCGACCGGATAGCCAGAGCCGGAGGATGCAGCAGAGTGGAGAGCGAACAGGGAGGCTCTCCGTGTGCCTCCCCAGTGACCAACGCGGGCACGACGCCCCTCACACGAGCAGGAGCAAAGCAGAGGGCAGCTCCCATCGCCTTCCCCACTGCCCTGCGGCTGGGACACGTGTGCTCAGTGACTGGACTCTCCTGCCAGCCAGGATTTCAAACGCAATCCAAGAATTTTAGTACATGGAAGGGATAAAGTAGATCTTTCTGTCCCTGGTGGAAGTCCTAGAAACACATTTTTATTATTAAAAAGGGAAAAGAAACCCACTCATTGGAAGGGTCTTAAAACGCTGTTATTATTTTATTGTTTTAAAAACACAGGCACTGCAAACTCCTTCATGTGTTGACTTCTTTGGGAAATTTGCCCTGTGGCTCCCTTAGGATGATGGTTTTCTTGTAACTGCCACTGTCGGCAGGTGTGACCCATCTCTTAGTGAAAAAGAAAGGTACCAAAAATTACATTGTTTCCAAACAAAGTCCTCAACTGAAAACACTTCAGCATTCAGGTGAAACCTCTTTGCCACCTCTTAATCTAATCTCAGTGTATACAAATTGGGTCAACCACAAGTCCAGCGATGCTGACACTGAAGCATCTTCAGGACTCCGGGGATATTCAGAACTTAACCTGTCCAGGCTCCGGACCAGCTGCTCCGCGTCGCTCCCGACTCGTGCTCCCTGCTCACCCGGCTGCACAGGCGACCTCGAGGGACCCCTTCCACCCGGGCTCTCTGCGACTCTCACACCTAAAGCTTTACCACACTAACACACACACCCGACCTTCCGAGCAAGGCTTTTCAGGAGCAAACCCTCACCCGAGTTACCAAAAGGGAAGTTCTTGCCTTTATGCAGCAACACCAGTGCCCCTACAAAGACCAGTATCTAGAGCCCAGAGTAGCTTCAAAACCCTTTCTGCCCGTAACATGCAGTCTGCAAACACCACCAGCCACAACACTTAACTGCTTCACAGTACGTTAGCACAGCTCCCATTCCAATGGAAAATGCAGGACGATCCCGCCTTGGCTCTTTCAGACATGAGGATGACCATTTACAGGGGGGMTACGAGGGCTGGAAGGTCAGAGGCCTTGGTCATGACTCTTGGTCACAAGGCACCACCGTGGGAGGCCAGGCAAACCTGTGCCCAGCGCCAGCTATCCCAGGGGGGCTCTCAAACCGCGGGTCAGGAGCCTGCTGGACCCTAACAAACGTTCTGAGTATCTGCTGCCAGTTTAACATCCTGCTCCAGCAATCCCAGTTCCCTCTCTCTTTGTTAAGCAAGCTCGCTACAGTAAGACAAGGCATAGAGCAACATATACACATCTTAATTATCCCATATCTCACCAAAATTCTTGGCCAGAAGAGATAAGCTGGCTATGTGCCTACCTGATTACTGATATCATGAACTGCAGTATTTTCCTCTTTGCTTTCTACCCTTCTACATTCTGCGGCATCTCTATTACCTATTTAGCTGGTGTGCCTTTTTCCCATACATAAACATGCATTAAGTTTACTTGAAACTCAAAAAAAAAAAATCTATTGCTAACCTTAAAATGTATCAGCTGAGGAGGCTCTGATTCCAGTAGGCTAACCTAAGTCACCCAGAAGCCCCAGGAGCAAAGAAAAGGTTAAAAGGTATAGAGCAAGCTGAAACAATATATAAAAGCTTACTTATTATTTGCTTCAGAAAGAAGAAAACCTGCTCCTGCCCATAAAGGTTGGGAAATCAGCGCTCCCCTTCTCAAGCTCTCCCACAATTATAAAAATGATGGGGATACTAATCCCAGCTCTACTATCTGGGAATTTGAAGATCATTGAGCTCTCCCTATCTCGTCTATCCCGCTCAGCTGCTGCTCCCTGGCAGRGAAGCTGCGAGAAGATGCCGCCTCCACGGGGCACCTCCTCTGYCGGGCGGACGGGCACGTCCTGGTGCTGCAGCCGTGAGGGGAAACCCACCTACCTCGGCGGCGATGCCGGCGGAGTATAGAGCGCAAGCGCCGAGGGGAAAGGTTGCTTCTTCAGCGCTTGCACGAGATTAGGCTTGTACTCTGGATCAACGCACCATAAGGAACCTTTTCCGTTCACCTGCAAGAGACAAAGCACCGYGAATTAGAAAATCCATACAAAGTTACTACAGTCGTTCCCACTGAGTATTCCCAARACCTGGCTAAGGGCAATTTTCCCCTCTTTACGTTCCAAATGTTGGCATTCCCCAAACAGAGCACATAGCCCCAAAACCTTTCTTAAAAGTCACAGAAACATCAGTGCTCCAGCTTGGGATACTGCGTGCACGCCGGAGCCCCGCTGCCATCCAGGCACGTCCCTGGAAGCTGCAGACCTTGTTTGGCACGAGGTGAACACGTCCCTACGTTCAGGCAAGTGTCTGCAGGCACCCGGGATGTGAGAGCCGCCCGATTAAGGCTGACACGCTGGGAACTCTCGTCCCTTTCCCTGGGCTTGGGTAGGGCCACGTACTCCCTTAACTGTAACGATACGACGACCTGTAAAAGCAGCTCGTCCAACGCCCGGCTACAGACTCGATCACTGCCCTCCACCTGTTCAGAATCCGAAAACCTACTTTATTTGACACTCCTAACAACACTAGCACCATTAAATTTGACACGSCAGGAAGCTGAGCAAGATAAAGTTCCTCCTGCGCTCTCAAGAGCTTCTTCGCCTATTTACTATTTAAAGAGAAAGCTATTTTTCAAGCAATAGAGAAGAGGGAAATTAAGCAGGCGGAGTCACAGCAAAGCTAACATCACTGATGTGACAGCCGACCCGGCAGCTCTGCGCGGCTCCRTCGGGTTTTCCTAGCGGAAGAGACGCTACAGAAGCGCTAACACGCGGCAGGTGAGAGGAACAACCCTAACCCTGAAAGGCAGGGCACCTCCACTGCATTTCTTCCCCCTTTTAGATGTAAGCAAGACTAGTAGCTACAGAAACATAACCCCACGGGGCTACTATCACTATCACTGCGCTGGCTGGGTACCAATGCAGGGAGCACCATGAGTTGGCTCCATCCRTCACCTCCAAAACAGACCGACCCCCTGGTCCCTTTCCCGCATCTCTCCTGGAGCTCTCCGAGCTATCGCTTCCCTGCTTCTCCCCCAAAAACCTAGCCCACCTCTAGCTTCCTCCTCAGAGCCCTTTCAGGCTCCGGGAGCAGAGCAAGCTCCCTCTCCCAGTAACTCAAAACTGCGGATCTGCTGTTTTGGGGGAGCCCTTTCCCTTGACACCTCATGCACTTCACTGTGGCCGCAGCCAGGAAGCTGCTAGTTGCCCATCTCCATTATTCAGGCCTGCACATCCATCAGCTTTTGACCTGACGTAAAATTAATACAAAAAACGCTGGTGGGCACCGCAACGGCCACGGCAGCCAGCGGGCCCTGGAGCCGCACAGTCCATCCAACGCACGGGACGATCAACTCGGTGCCTGCCCCGCACCGGGTGCCGTGCGAAGCCCAAGCACAATTGCACTCAGCTGGTGAAAAAGCGACGATCCAACGTCTGCGGAGCAGCCCGTGGATAAACACACCGCTGCCCTTGGACCCACTGACCAGCCAAGCCACAGAGTGGAAAGGCAAAGGGGATTGCTGGTCGGTGCCGCTCCCCCATTCCTGGTCGGTGCCGCTCCCCCATTCCCGGTCGGTGCCGCTCCCCCATTCCCGGTCGGTGCCGCTCCCCCATTCCCGGTCGGTGCCGCTCCCCATTCCCGGTCGATGCCGCTCCCCCATTCCCGGTCGGTTCTGTGCTTTGGCTGCGCACGACTGAGGCTGAAATCCAGCAGGGCACCAGCACGTCCCCCTTCAGCAGCCAGCGGGGCTACTGGAAGCAGCTGCACCACAGCACTCGTGGTATCCCCCATGGAGCAAGGGACACTCGGCATGGGCCAGGCCTTGGGGGCCGGTGCTGCCAAAGGCAAATCCAGCCTGGGTTTCCCCCAGCAAAGACAAGGCTGGGTTGATCAGAGCCCTACGCTGCCCGGTTCCATGGAACCACCGCATGGAACCATTACAGTTCCATGTAACAGTGGGGAAATTTCCACCTGCTGCTGTGCTTGCTGGAATGTAGACACAAATGTTTATTTAAGGTGTTCCAGAGCGAGCAGCCATCAGGCTGTACCGGCTCCGGACCGTGAAACGAACTGACACTTCAAACAAATTGTTCTGAGACTTTCCCTGTTAAGACTGTCATCCTCTTTGCATCCCTCTCACACTTGACTTGCAGCATTTCATCCAGGTGGATAAAGAACAACAGAGGAAAAGAAACCTTGCAGTTTAAACACTTGGACTCTCTCAGAACAACAGTCATTTCAAGGCTCCAACATTTTTCAGAGTGGTGTGAGGGCAACTTCGGCAGAAAACAAGATGCCCCCCGTGGCCCTTTCGCTCTCACAGGGAGAGAGGAGAAAATAAGTAAATAAATGGATCAATATCCCTGCTCCAGACGCTCAGGGYGTCGGGCTCGGGAGCCACTGGAGCTCCGTAGTGCAGGTGCTGGCGCCAGCCCTAAGCAGCGCTTAGCAGAGCACAGCGCCAGCACGCAGACATCCCACTAAACTCCCCCTGCGCGGCAGCCTGCTCCAAGGGCGCCTCGGAGCCGCCTCCTCCCGCGCTCCGTGCCTCCTCCATCACCTGAGCGCTCCGTGCCTCCTCCATCACCTGAGCGCGGGGTGACGCAGAGCCCCTCAGGCGCGCCGCAGGAGCCAGGAAGGAGAGGCCTCCCGCTCCTCTGTAGCCACACGCGCCACGTCCCGAGCGCTCGGAGGGCTCCCGAGCGCTCGGAGGGCGGCTGGGCCCAGGTACCGGCAGCTCCGCGCAGGGCAGCACAAGGAGGCGGGAAGCCCCTCGGGACGCGCTCGCAGTTCATGGCCCGCGCGGAGCAGGACGCTCGGCAGGGAGCTCTCCCCAAGCAGGGGACCTGTCCCGTTGAGCAGGTCTCCCTGCTCAATGCCACGCGGTGYCTGGTGCTCCCCATGCTGCCGGGCTCCGGGAGAGGAGTTCGGGGCCGATGCCACAATCAAAAGGCAAACGGTGCTGCAGGACGGCACCCGTGGGGCACGGAGCCCCCTTCGCGCACCGATGTTCCTCCAGCACCAAGAGCTGGGCTTTTTAAATATTTTTTCTTTTTTTTAATAAAACACACTTCACTGATGCAGAATGCCACAAGCCACTCTCCTCCCATAAGCACTCAAGACAGAAAAGAATCGAGTAAAATCAAGTAAGAAGGAGAAAAGAAGGTATCAAATTATCCAGCCACCTTAGAAGAGCAAGAGGCATCGGCAGCACGAGGTTGCAGAGAGCAGCCGCAGCAGACCTGCGCAGAGGCTGCTCACACTCGCTGCAAGAAGCCRCATCTTAGGCGTCCTGGGTGTCCAAGTCCTCCTAAACAAGGAGCACCAGCGAATGCCAAAACACAGACTGGCAACTCTTAAGCCCTGGGAGCTTCCAGACTGGAAACGGTGGAGCTTTAAGGACAGAGTCGGTGCCTTGCACAAGCCCTCCCRAGCCCCAGGCTCCCCGATCCACGTTACTGATCCATGTTACTGCTCCGTCGAGGTCCTTGGGGGCTGTGGGTACCCTCACACCGAGCAGGGTGCGTCTCACACCACCCAGCAGCAGGGCCTGCCCCACAGAGACACTCCACAAGCCCAGGAGCAGCAGGGATCCCACCAGCTCCCAGCGTTTCAGCTGCTTTCAGGAGCAGTCAAAGCAACAACTGACAGACCTTGAGATTTTCCTCTCYCCTGAGATTCAGAGCTTCCTCCCCTGACAAACCTCCCTGCTCTGCCACGCGCGGCCCTGCACACCCACTGCTGAACTGTGCAGCCTTGGGGAGCTGCCCCGTTCACCTGGTGCAGCTGAGAGCATTTCACTTAGAGCCTTAGGGCACCYGCAGTCTCCTTCACTCTTCGGTCACCCGACTTTCAGCAGGGCTCTGCTGCACGGCAGCCACTGCACTTGCCACAGGGGAGCAAGAAGCCAAACCAAGAGGTGACCAAACACCCCAGCACCTCAGCAGTACTGATGCCCACCCAGCTTCCCACCTACATCCAGGACACCCCTGCCCAGAGGCTGTCAAAAACGCCCCACACTGCATGCAGTTCTCATAAATAGCCTGTTATCACTTAGGCCAGCGTTTGAGCCCGTGGGCTTGGGTTGTTTGTTGAGCTTCTTTGGCATGTTCTTCAAGTCAGARCTACCTCCTTGAGGAGCAGGATGGGAAAGGAGAAGTCCCAAGTAAAACCATTTAAGTCAGCAGAAGAAATAATTTATGTGGAAAAGAATAACCTTGAGTTAAAAAGCGGATCTTTCCTTACAGTTTGTGTCAAAGAGACTGTACCACACACAGACACCCACGCCTGCCATAAGACCCTGCCCTGTTTCCACAGAAGATAAAGCAATGGGCAAGCTGGAACTGCATTAGCTGTAAGCAAAGCGAAGGCCACGTTAGTGCCCAAGGCAGCTTTCAGACTGAGAAGCACACCCCATCTCTGTGTTTTGATTTTCCTTTAACAACTATTTTCCTTATACTAAAGCAAAGTTCTTGTTTTCTCCTTTTTTTTCATTTTTTTCAGCAGATGTYGACAGTGAATGAATCACAAAAGCTTAGGTGCACATGAGTACAGGATAGGAGGGACAGTCAAAAACAAACTGGTCATTTTGAGATACACCCTGCTAAAAATGTGCTTAAGAATTCCTTGCATCCATGAGCTCAGTAAAGCACTGAGAAAATAACAATATATCTGACTTACAAATAAGCCCATTTCATCTTAGTTGGAGCTTGTTTTTCCTGATAGTTACCTAAAACTGAAGTTTTTGCCTACAGTTACCRCACAGACTTGGATGCAGCTTGTAAATACAGTGTGTCTTTAAGCTACTACACCCTGCCCATGACTAAATTTACACCCAAACTGGCAAAAGTCGCCCTGGACCCACGCCACCCCATGTTAGCTGACACCCAGGCTTGGGAGCCATTTGGTAGCCCCGAGGTCTATCTGATTTCACAGCACGATGGCTGCTGGGAGCTATGCTAAAAAAGCAGAGAAGAGGGAACATGTCTAGAGAGTTTGCCAGGTGAAAATATGGAGAAGAGTAGTTCAAGTCTTCAGGAGGGACAACACAACTCCGTGACAAGTGCCCTTGGCTGCCCTTGGCCTTTCTGCCTCCCTTGGCCACGTGCTCGCTGTGGCTGCGGCTCCCAGGGCTGCGTTCACGGCCACGGTGGCAGATCTCTGCACGCAGAGCACCGCGCAGCAGCTCACGAGCCAGCCAGGTACAGGTGTCTGTGACCGCTCCAACAACAGCCTCACCACCCACGCTCCAGCAGCGGCCCGCTGCAGGAGACACCCGAACCAACCACCCTCCCTCGCCACCAAGGAGCCCTCTGCCAACTCCAAAGCCCACGGGTGACACRAGCCACTGCCTTTGGTTTTTTTGAATGAACATAAGCATAAACAAGAAACCTACTTTATTTTCTTCATCCTCAGATAAACGGACTTCTCAAAGCRAAATAAAAAGATGCAGCAAAAAGACCTTCTAACACTGACATCTAATGGTGCAGGCCAAATGCCACAGCCTGATAAAATTGTAATTAAGTGCAAGCAGGGTCTCTTACAGCARCACATTAGCCAACTTTAGAAGGGATGCGTCACAGCTAGGTCCACCCTGGTCAGTACCAAATAAAAACACAGGACAACAAAAACCTTTTTGTAATTTGTCACAAGTGGCATTTCTAAAGCATCTACAGTTGCAAACAAAGTGTTAAGCCATATGATTTCGGCACACACACACAAAAAAGATCAAGAGCATCAGTTGTCTCCCCATCGACTCCCAGGGCACTACACGTCCTCCCCGCGGGGCTCACCTTGCCATGGCTTCTCTCCACCTTTCGGAAACACTTGTTCAAGGAAAGGTTGTGTCGGACGGAGTTCTTCCARCCCGTGGGCGCTGTGGCAAAGTAGGGGAAGCGCTCCAGAATCCAGCTGTAGATCTCCTTGACTGGCAAGCTCTTATTTGGAGAATGTTCAATAGCCATGTAAATGAGAAGGCTAAAGGAGTAGGGGGGTTTGGAAGTGGCTGACTTTTTCTCCGGGTTCTGGTAGCCGGAAGGCGAGAAGGACGGCAAGCTGTCGCCCTCAATGTCGTACAACGGGCTGACGATGGGATGGCCCTCGCTTCCGAGGCTGAAGTTTGTGAGCAGGTTAGTGCTTTCGTGCAGCCAGTTCAAGTTTGTGAGCTCGTCGTCCGTGGAGTCGCTGTCCACCACGGTGGCCTTGGGCCTCCCGGCATCGACCGCCTCGGGCAAACTTCCCATTCTGTGGAGCTGCCTCAATCCCGCGGCTCTTTCTGCTCCCGGCGTTTCAGCTTTCTTATCCGGAGTCATTCCAGTGACTGGACCCATTTAGTTTTATTGGCCTGCAAGAGATAAAAACAATTAGGAATCAGTGTAAACTTCAACATTTTATTTTGTTTCAGCCCWCCAAATCCTGAAAACTCCTTGCACGTTTTAGCAGCCTTTGCAGGACGTTCTGCAGGTGCCTGGTGTAGGGTGCGTGTCTGAGCTCCCACCAGCAGGGAGGACAACCCCAGGAAGGAAAATATCTCCCACCCACAAGGAGCCAGTGGCACCTGGGGGCACTGAAGGACCCAACAGTGCCTGCTCCTTCAGCAGGACCCTTCCTGACGGTTGGTTGCTGGTCATTCCTTGGGCCTTGATCAACGGGACAGACTGMGGAGGGTTCCTGCTGCCCAGCAGCTCTCAGTGCAGGGACGTATCAGCACCGCTACGCGCAGCACTGCGCAGATCCCAGCACAGTGAAGATGTTTGTGCCCATCACTGCTGCACAGACAGAGCCAGAAAGGGGTGAAAACAGAGATACGTATAGGAACATGAAAACCAAATAATCCCGGAAAACAAACAACAAAATAAAGTCAGATAAAGCCTATTGCTACCGAGAATGTTTATTTGTCTAAATAATCARACAACTAAAAAATGTCTCAAATATTATTATTGGACCATTTTTGGTCTCTGGGATGTATTTATCCACGAAAAAGTTGGGCTTTCTATTCCAAGGACAAATTTGGAGCTTTATTAGCTACTTGATTTCGCTCATTTGGGAAAAGCGGAGCGCAGGGAGACGAGGGACAGACGGGGCAGCATTGAAACGAGATGAGCTCCAGCCAAGGGCCTCGTCCACCTCCTGCTCCCAGCGGAGCCTGGGCCAGAGCCCGGCAGCACGAGGACAACCGCAGCCGGACACCCATCCTGCCGCCCCAGGGCAGAAGGACGGACACCTTCCCAAGGGCAGACACCTTCCCAAGGGCAGAAGGACGGACACCTTCCCAAGGGCGGACACCTTCCCAAGGGCGGACACCTTCCCAAGGGCAGAAGGACGGACACCTTCCCAAGGGCAGACACCTTCCCAAGGGCAGACGGGGTCATTCCCCAAGCCCTCACCCCAAGCTCTCGGATGTTTGGGCCATCTGAGCTTCTTTTCAACAACGCCTCTCCCTCTGCTTCCCAGCACTGGTGCTGGAAACCACTCCCAAATTTGCTATTTATGTGCAGGCACTGACAGGATTTAACTACTAGCTCAGTCCCTAAAAAATGTCAAGCAAACTGAACTGCCCAAATAGCTTGTCAGAAATAACTTTGCTCTCCCTACGGTTTACTTCTCCCTCAAGCCATCAGAACAGATTTACACTGGCAGCCAGTGAATGCTGGCTTTCAACAGGGCAATTTATATATACCTCTCAGCTATTTACTTTTTGAATCCTTTCTTAAATTAACAAACAAACAAGGCCRGTGATGTAATTCGTGAAGTGGGAGAACCCCAACGCTGCCGCAGCGAAGGCTTCGCYGTGTTCCCACAGGATCCCAGAATGGCTGAGGTTGGAAGGGACCTCTAGAGACCATCCAGTCCAACCCCTGCTCCAGCAGGGACACCCAGAGCACGGGGCACAGGGCGGCATCCAGGCGGGTTTSSGAGATCTCCAGGGAAGGAGACTCCACAGGCAGCYTGTGCCAGGGCTCTGTCGCCCTCACAGAGAAGCTCCTCCTCATGTGGAGATGGAGCTGCCTGTGTCTCAACTTGCACCCCCTGCCCCTTGTCCATGCTCCTGTTCTCTGCTAGTGGAGCTTCCCTCCGTGGGCCCAGCTCCCAACTGTGGGACATGGCTGACATTACTGGGAAGATCCCTTGGCAAACCCTGGTGGGAGGGCAGCCGGGGAGCTCCCCGGCTTCCACGTGGGCACCTTTCAGTTCCTGCATTCCCTTTGTGAAGCTGGGCGATAAACTCTAGCCTGAAACACAAATAGGAGCTTGGCACTCCTCGAGTCTTTTCAGAGGTAAAGAGGGAAGGAAAACATCAGCCTAATTAAACTGTCTTTTAACATCGGCCAGACACCATGGTGTCAAGATGCTATTTGTTTGCAAGCTATTGTGTTTGCAGAGAGTCATTAGAATAATTAACTCTCTCCTTAAAAAGAGAACCGTTTGCAAGCAGTGCACTTGGAGTGGCAACAGCCTGTCTTGCTCAATAACAGCATTACCAAAAGTTACATGCAAGATGCACATTATCTTCCCGTTTGTCACCTCACACATCCACCCCAGGGACACAGCAGCACAATTCTTAAAATATTATCAAGGCTATTAGGGTATCATGGTCTAATAATTATGAAAATAATGCAGTTCCTAACTGCAGTTAARAACTAACCACTGCATTTTTAAAGGGTGTTTTTATTGGTCTAAATTGAATTCTGCATCAAGGATTAGCAAAATATGCAAATAGAAAAGTTAAAAAAAAATAAAAATCACTACTTATCTCCAGAAAAGACAGAATCAAAGTCCTCTGCTGAACCCCCTGTTTGTGACGGCCCTTAACGCTCTGCATCCTACTAGCATTACTGCAATGGAGTGACCTGGTTCTGCGGTCTCAGCGCCAGCTCAGCAACGCTCTTCACCACGTAACGCCCTGCTCTTGATTTTCCCCATCTCAGAGCAGGGGGTTCTGGGCTGCAGCTCTGCCCATTTCCTGCAGCCGGCCCCCGCATCAGCCCAGGACCCCTCTCACCTTCCCACTGCAAAGCGCCGCCAACCACCCAAGGCCTCCAAGGCTCCCCCTTCTCCAGGCAAGGGCCATCCCGGTGCTCCACAGAGCAGCTCGCGACAGGACAAACCTCTTCGCACCTCCTCRGCTCTCAAGCACCTAAGGACCACGACGACTGTAGGGAAAACTTCAATCCAACCGGTCGAGCATCCAAGGGGACACACGTGGTCAGTTTAACTCACAGGTGCTTCCTAGAGCCCTCATCAATCACAGCCACTCAGTGACACGAGGAATTCACTCTATATGTCTCTGCATATGCACTCTGCTAGCCTGTGAGCACATGGAACGATATAAACACAGCCTATAAATTGTCATTTCCCAGATCACCCTTTGCAGTGACATTACGGTAGCATTTTACATAAGGACCCCAAGACTGACCAAAGCAGCCTCTGCCAGGAGCTGTAAGGCCTTGTGGACACGGATGGCCACAGCCGGAGGATGAGCAAGGAGAGCAGAGCGCGAGGGAAGGAAAGGCCACACAAATGCTCCACCAGTCGGGACCTCCACATTTGTTGTTATGTTAATATGCTGTTATTGTTAATGATAACAATATAAGAATGTTGTTATCCACTCAAGAGGTCCTGCTGCCAGCTCCCCTGCCTCCTGAACCYGCTCCGTGCCAGAAAACGTGTCGGGACAGGAGGAACCTGCAGAAGGAGAGATGCCCTGCACCCCCCCGTCCTGCCGCGGTCCGCGAGCCCCTCTTGCCAAAGGAGGGGCACAGAAGGCGAGCGTTGAGCTGACCTCTCCGGCTGGCACTCTGCATGCCCAGAAACTCGCTGCAATTCCCGCTGTGACAGCCCCRACCCTGGAAGCAGCGCCAGGATGCAACCCCCTGCCTCCTACRTCCAACGGCTGCTCTCCTGCTTTCAGCACAGGTCTGGAAACGTGCAGGTTTCCACCGGCCGGGTCCGACTGGCTTTGCCCTATCAGTAAGTACACAGCGACGCAGCGGGTTGGGATTATTATTAACACTTGCAACGGGGAGCTGCAGCCTGAGGCGCCTGCAGCCCCAGGAGCTGAGGCACCCACCTCTGGTAGGCACCTTCAGGGAGAAAAAATGCCTRTCAAAACACCTACTGCTCAAACACAGGGCACTACAGCGGACAGGAACAGTACTGTGTGATATAGCTACGTACAGAGCTAYGTGGTTAGAAGATTAAAAGAGAAGTTAACCAGGGCTGCTTGAAGAGAAGCTAGGAAGCCTCAGAARCAAGGCAAGAGAGACAACCTTCCTTGTAACATCCCTGTGATTCCTGTGTCACACGAGAGCTCGTGGAAAGCTGGGAGCAGGCCTCAGTTCTAGGAAACACGAGTCCAGCCCCGGCAGCCTTGTTAAGTCTCCTCTCTGSCGGGCTTTGCCACTGCCCCAACAGCGAGGCAGGGTCCAAAGGGCTGGTTTAGAGAGGCCTCGAGACATCAGAGGACGATATTCGGTGTCACGAGACAAACCGCGCACYGCTCTCACCTCGGGAATCAAACCAGTACTGCCCAGTACTCACCAGTCCACTGGAAACCAAAGAGCTGCTCCCTAGAAACCAAAGAGAAATCAAAGAAACAAGGGGAGCTCGCGCCGAATTTYGGCCCTGAGCGCTGACTGGCACACAAGCAGCTATCAACCCCCCAGTAACGATGCCCAGGAACAAGGCTCTCGCAAGGCAGGTTAAGAAGTTATAGAGGCACAACCTCATGATAGAGATTCCAGAATTTTGGCCCAAAATACAGAAATCGGAATTATCTCTCCAGTATGTTGTGATTTGCATGCAAAATGTGACGTTTTGCTAAAGGCAAGGTGAATACATTTTCCTCTGATCTAATATTAGTCTATTATCACTGTTAAATCTTCCACAGAGGAAACACATCTAGAAATGCAGCACCATCTGGTTAGGAATAGCTGCTGCTCTGAAGTAACAGGATATGAATTTCCTTCTTTCCTGTAAGAAGGAAGAAAAAAAAAAAACAGCAATACAAAATAAATGCTTGGAGAAGATGATATTTTTGCCATCTTCAAACTTCATAGAAAAGCTAAATGAGAGGCTGCAAATTCCTGAAAATAGTGGATAAAGTCTGTAGTTAAAGCAGGTTTGTGCATCCTTATGTGACACTACCACAACTTCACTCTGATTAAAAGATATTGAGCACTGCTACGCTCTACCACATAAATGTATAACCTGGGAGTATTTTATGAAAACAAAGCTTCATTGCTTTAAGCAATTGTTTACTAAAAGAGGAATTCAGCCTGTACCTGCACGGGGCTCCCACGCTCACCTGCGGCAGAGCTTTCCGCCCCTTTGCTGGGGGAGGCC